TGTGTGTGTGTGTGTGTGTGTGTGTGTGTGTGTGTGTGTGTGTGTGTGTGTGTGTCAGGCGGGCTCGCAGACAGGATGTGAAGTACGGAGACCCTTGGAGTCAGTGTCCGGTCACAGAGGACGGTAAGGATGTCTCACTCTGAGAACAAACAGCTGCCGTCAGACATGTTTTACTGTCATCAGTGACGCCTGTGTGTGTGTGTGTGTGTGTGTGTGAGTGTGTGTGTGTGTGTTCTCAGAAATGATTCATACACATTTAAAGATTCATTCTGATTGGTTTTTATTTGATGCAACAAAATGTATTGCTGGAATAAACAAAAAAAATCTGAAAACAGATGAAAAAGAACTGAGTATAAATGTAAACAAATTGTTTATAATTTCAGAACAAATTAATAAATTTTATGATTGTAGATAATCAGTCTTATTCTCACTGTTTTTATTCAATAAAACCAAAGTATCTGTGATCACAGCTGATCAAAGCAGCTCATTAAGTCTTTATAACCACAGGGTTCAGGTGGAGATTTGGCGCCCTCTGGTGGCTGTCCTGTTTAACTACAGATTTCATGTTTATTTTTTAAATTCTTTATTTAATGCTTGTTTCTTCCTGTCAGACTCAGATTCGGTGGCGGTGAAGGAGGTTTACGGCGTGGAGGGAAACTCCTCCTTCTTGGAGTGCCTCCCTCGGTCTCTGCAGGCCGAGCTGAGGTGGGCCATGTCAGACGGTCTGGACAAACCCTTCAGACAGGTGGGTCCTCAGACAGAGGTCATAATCCTCTTCATCATGTGGGATTAAATCTGTTTGTGATTTCTAATAACATCATCAGTGATGGAGCTGAGAAATTCTTGTGTGTTAGCGAAATATCTCATGAACCACAGGACAGGTTTTATCTGAAACTAACACTTTAGGTGTCGACCCGGTTCACTGTGTCACCTGGGTCAGGTGGGTGTGGCTTCAGCCACCTTTTAGCCCCGCCCCTGAGAAGTAACTACTTCCTGGTTGTTAAATTTGAAACTCTCGAACGTCTCGCCTCTCAGCTGCAGAACGATGAAGATCGGATCCTCCTCCTCAAGCGAGGGTTGCTGGTTCAACGCCTGGACCCGAGCGACGCAGGTCTGTACAGCTGCACCAGCCACGAGCACTCCTACAGCCTGGTTCTGACCCGGTACCGCCTGCACGTCGTCCCCAGCCACAGCCTCCACCCGACCCGCCACCTGCAGAACCACAGCAACCACCCAGCCCCTCTGAGTCCGTCCAGGACCGGCGGGTACCTGGGCCAGCCGGGCGGTTCTGTGCCGGGTCTCGGGAACTCTCTGAGGAGCTACAAAGACCTGCAGATGGTGGGGGGCACCGGACTGAGCATGGACGAGTGCGAGCAGCTGTGGCACCGCGAGAAGCGCCGGCAGCACAAACTTCGGGCTCTGAAACTGAAACAGGAGAACCGCAAGGCCCGGGTCAGGAGGAACCCCCCCGAGACCCCCCTTTAGTCCCCCCGGAGGACACCGAGACTCTTTAAAGGACAACAGAGGAAGAGGACAGGTCCAACAGTTTTAATATAAACTAACATTTATCAACTGGTTCTTTTATAAATTAAATCATTTTATCCATAAAATACTCTTAAAGTTCTAATAAGCTTTTAGGTTCTTCTTATTATGGGATGTCTGCAGCACCTCAGGAGCTTCTTTCAGTTTTACACTGTTAGAATCACAAAACGATGAAAAATCAAAGATAAATATCTGATTTCAGACAGAAGAATAAACAGAATCTGAACTCAAATATAAAAAGTTTCTGTTTGTTCTCAAACCTCACTGAACACAAACTGTTATATTCTTGTATAATAAAAGTTTTCATTATGTAGAATTTATATTTTGTGTTTAAATAAACCGTTTCTCTTTTAACATTTTAATGTTTTGTATGAGAAAAACAAATGAAACTTGTTTTACAGTAAAATTAATGTGTTTGTGTTTTTATTCTTTTGTATAAATCAGAAATAAAAACAACTTTTTTGGTCTTATTTGTTTAAGCATTTTGGTTCTTCACTGACAAACATAAATTTATAATATGAATTCATAAAAACACAAATATCCTCATCTGGATTCATTTCTTAATATTTTACTGTAAACCAAGCAGACGATTTAAATCTTTTAAAATAAAGTTTTTTATTTAAAAAAAAGTTGTTCTCCCTTTTTACTTGCATCAGCAGTTCACGTCAATAACAATTTGACATATTTCTGCACTGACAAAATTGATCCCAGAGATCTATAAGCTTAAAATCATTAACAAATGATAGTAATCTGGTCTGATCAGTGAAATGTGACTGTTTTAATCAGTATCACAGTAAAACTCTGCTGTTTGCCATTTATTTTACACTTTTTCCTTTTTAAAAATTGCCTAATCGGAGCTGAAACGACATATTTGAAGCTGTAGTTCTCAGTTTGTGCAGCAGGGGGCGGTGACGCACGCGCACATGTGACCGTCGCTGTAAACGAACCGCAGAAGAAGAACTGGCGGCTCGCTGCTGTTTGAACTGATGGAAACAGGAGCAACAGTTCGGGTTGGGAACGCGGTTTGTAGGAAAACAGGCAGAACTCTGATTTTACTCCGAGGATAAAGGTGAGGAAATGTTCATTAACAAGTAAAGTTGTTTCAGTTTGAGCTTCCGGTTTGATGAGCGAGTTTTTACCGCCGCTTTAAGTTGCTCTGTAGTTAGCATGTTGGCTAATAGTGTTCTCAGTAATCAAAACTGACTCCTGTGTTTCTGCCTCACGGCCCGGGTTTACTCACTCAGATGTTTGTTTTCTGCTGTAATAGAAGCTGTTCAGTTTATAATATATAAATATATAATTACCTGCTGTTCAGATTCAGACTGGGTTCAAAGTGGACTGAAATAAACCCAACATGACTGCTCCTACTCTGCAGCAGCCCAGCTTCCTGCTGGTGAGTCTGAGGTTTTTAAAACCTTTACGTGTTTTAGTCCTCAGGAAGTACACATTACTGATATAAAGTGGTAGTTCTGCTGTAAAGTTGATTGTTGTTATTTTCAGGCCAACCTTAAAGCTGATTCCACAACCAAAGCTCTCCTGCAGCGATGCCAGGATCTGGTCAGGATCATCGAAGAATATCCTGCAAAGGTTCAAAACCCACAAACTGTGATGCATCGTGGTCTCTGTAGTCCCTGTTCCTGAACGCATCACGGTGTTGATTCCTGTTGTTCCAGCTGCTTCAGAAAGTTTTCAACTCAACTTTATACATCAAATTTAAAATAACTGCTGTTGGCTGAAGTGTTTCACTTAAAACAAATAAAAACACAAGAGCATAAGAACAATAAAAACAAGTCACAGTCAACTCTTATGCAAATGTTTTAAGACTAGATTAAAACACAATTAGCTGAAAGTGTTTGTTGTTTGAACTGATGATAGTTTAACATATTAGAGATGTTCATCAGTGAATAATAAAAACTGATTAATTTAAACAAAGAATGAGCCTGCAGTCTGTCAAAATAAAAGCTTAGCTTCTGCAGCTTCAGGCACTGATAGTTTTATTTTCTCATCAGGAGTTTCCTGTTTTAAAAGAAATCAAAGTAAAGCTGCTGATTTTAGTCGATTAAAACCATGTGATTAATGGCACTCAGAGTACGTGTTGGCGATGACTCTCAGCTACCACCACACCAGGGTTTACCTGAGCAGCTGTCACTCTGACTGGGTTCTGCTCCTGTGTTTCTGCAGGAGCTGCACTTGATCTTTCCCTGGCTGATGGAGAACGTCTTCGGCAGTCTGGATGGTGTCATCGCCGGCTGGAACCTGCGTCTCATCAGCTCCCGGAGCAACGAGTACGGCGTGGTCCTGGACTTCCTGAACCCGGGGTACATGCAGTTTGGTTCTAATCTGACAGAGAACTGGTCTTTGGATCCGAACCAGGCGTGAGTTTTCTGTCTCCTGGTGTTTCAGAGGCCCGATGATGAAGCTGGTTTATAAACTTCAATCAGAGGAATATAAATATGAAATCCCCGTCAACTATCTGCCGGTAAGACGGTTATAACTCAGCCTTAAGTGTTTTTTATTGTGTTTCAATTGTTGTTTTTATATCTGTGATCTGTTTTATTGTTTTTAATTATTTTTAATTGTTTATTGCTTTCTGTGAAGCACTTTGTGATGTTTGTGTCTGTGAAAGGTGCTATAGAAATAAAGTTTACTTACTTACTAGCCTGACATTTGTTGCATTAAAAACCATTTGAGCTCACCGTTAGCATGGATGCTAACTTGATTTGTGTTTCAGGGTCCTGTGAAGGCCTGCATCCAGGAGGGGGTTCTCCCAGACTGTCCTCTGTTCCACAACAAGCTGCAGTTCCCTCCGGCGGGGGTCCTGACCCTCAACATCGCCCTCAGTATCCTTCAGAACATTTTGATGTTCACTCTGAGCTTCAGCTCTGTTTCAAACTGGAATTATTCCTCAACGTTCCTGCAGATCCTTTTGAGTTCTTCATGTTTTATTTTGCCTTCTGTCTGATCGCTCCGAGGGTGAGAAACCATAACCCTGCAGCTGTGTGAGAACCGTCTGAATCGAAGTGAAACACCGTCTGTTTGATATTTGTCAGAACTTCCCTCAGGGCCAACAGACCGGCTCCACGGACAGCGCCTACTTTGTCCTGGTGGACCTGTACCTGAAGTACTTCCTCCCCAGTGAGGGAAGTGTTCCCCCGTCCCCGTTCTCCGACTCCAGAGGTTCTGTCGCAGCTGCTTCTCCACGGTACCGCTCAGATCAGAGCAGAGCTTTTTATGTCTATGAAGTAATCTATAAAAGAAAAACTGCTTCAGCTCAGGTTCTTCAGCTCAGGTTCTTCAGCTCTGATCTTCGGCTGTTTTCTCATTTTTAACTCTGATCTTCGGCTGTTTTCTCATTTTTAACTCTGATCTTTGGCTGTTTTCTCGTCTTTAACTCTGATCTTCGGCTGTTTCCTCGTCTTTAACGTTGGTCTTCGGCTGTTTCCTCGTCTTTAACTCTGATCTTCGGCTGTTTTCTCGTCTTTAACTCTGATCTTCGGCTGTTTTCTC